TTTTTTTTTTTTTTTTTTTTTTTTGGTACTGGGGGGTCAAACTCGGGTTCTTGTGCTTAAGAGGCAGACGGCAGAACCACTGAGCTAAATCCCCAGGCCCCTACCTCCATTTTAAAAAGGCATCCACTTTCTAATTAGCTTCTTCGCCTTAAGCAACAGGACTTTGTGTTTTTAAATTGAAACATAATTCACATGCATTAAAATTCTCCATTTCAAATTGTATAATTCAGTGGCTTCAGTACATTTACATGGTTGTGAAACCCTCACCACTAATCCCACATTTTCATCACCCCCAAAAAGAATCCCATTATGAGTCACTCCCCTACCGCTAATCCCCTGCCAGCCACTGATCCGTTTTGTTTATGGATTTGTCTAGATATTTCATATAAATGGAATTACACAATAGGAGGCCTCATGTGTCTGACCTTGTTCACTCAGTACCACGTTTTCAAGATTTATCTCTGTTGCACCTTGAGTCTTACTTCATTTCTTTCTATGGCTGAAAAACATTCCATTGTATGGATATACCAAACTGTATTTATTGTTTCATTCATCAATTGATAAATATGTGGGTTGCTTCACTTTTTGACTATTGTAAGTAAGGCTGCTATCGCATACAGTACACGTTTCTCTGTGAATACGTTTCAGTTTGAGAATATGCCTAGGAGTAGAACTTCTTGGTCAGATGGCAACTCTGACTTAAACTTGCTGAGGAAATGGTACAGTTTGGAGGCCCACTGGCAACCTATGAGAGTCATTTCTCCACATGCTCACCAAGTACTATTTCTAGAAACATTCTTCATTTTACCTCACCAGTGCTGCCTCAGCTTCGTAAGTATTAGTACTGCAATTAGGTCTAAAGATTGTATAAATTAAAACAAATATTTCACACACACACACACACAAGTATGTCGGATATGCAGTAAAAGTAACACCAAGGAACTGTTCCTCTTCTGTTCCTAATTTTTCCTGGCAGGGTATATACAGTGTTTCAGGGGAGTCGTCTGGCCAGAGGCTCAATTCACCATCATAAGAATTTATCACAAAAATTCAAGGACAAAAAACATTTGGGAACAAATCTTTGTCTTAACAGCGAGCTCCCTCGGGTAGACATAACTGTAGCATCTGAACAGCTTTTCATTTTAACTTCTTCGTGTCTGAAACGCTGGAACCGACTCGCTTGAGAGCTCACGCGCAGGCCGCCAGTCTGCGCAGGCGCACACCTACAGCCCCGCACACCCAGGACTTCCCCCTCTGAAGCTAAGGGACCGAGAGACTAATCCACGCATGTCCCCGGGAAGCGGTGCTCCGCATTGGTTGATTAAGTCTAATGACTTAGACATCCGCCAATCACCATGATAGGGGCGTGGTTACAGGGAGGAGATGGCTGGTGGAAGCTTGTGACCTGGACCCAGCGCCGGAAGCTACCTATTTGGTGAGGATCTCCGGCATAATCTAAGGCCGCAATGGTGAGTGAGGACGCATGCGCGAGAGGACGCGCCGGGGGTTCAAAGTCCCTGTTGCTCGATATTTGGTTGCCCCCTCCTGGTCCATGCGCTCTATTCTCACCTCCGGTCTACCCCAAGGTGGCGTGGGAATGGAGATGAGAGGGGGCAGCGACGTAGCGGACCGAGGAGGAACCTATGGGAGGGTGTTGGGAGCTAGGCCGTAGTGTCCCGGGCGGGGTGGGACAAGAATGGATCGCCCCGGGTAGTCAGATTGGGGAGGCCAGAGGCTGAGAGTGAGGGCAGACAGAGACTCCGGAAGATCAGCATTGAAGGCCAGGTAGGGGGAAGAGAGTCGAAGGGGCCATCGTCAAGGGAGACTTGGGTTGGCAGGTGAAGGGTATTGAGGGCCGGGTCTAGCTTGCTTCTCACTGCTTACATCTTTACCTACTAGACTTCTGCACTGACCCAGGGCTTGGAGCGAATCCCAGACCAGCTGGGCTACCTGGTGCTGAGTGAAGGTGCAGTGCTGGCGGTGCGTTCTGGGAAAGGGTGGGGGATCCCTTCTAGTAGTGCCCGTTTTCGCCTGACTTGTCTCTCTTTTCATCCTTTTTACCTGGCATCCTCCCAACATATAGTAAGCTCTTAGTAATCTCTGGAATCTGTCTTCTAAGTGTGCTATGGAAGGAGAGGTTTACCACCTTTACACAAATCGGGTAGTTATAGGTTTGTTAATAGTCGTTAATGTTCATGCTTTTCTCCAGTATGTCTATATTTTTCACTTCTCAACGAGATTTTGTATTTTATTTTCCATAGTACTATATAGTATAGCCCTGTTGAAGTTTTTTGCTCCAGCTGGAAAGACTTATGGTTGCAGTTTTAAAGCAGTGCAAGTGGTAAAGCTTACTGAAGGGGTCCAGGAAATGAAGGTCTCAAACGTTGGTGTTCTTATTTTATGGGAAGAGAGCTTTCTTGGAGGCTCAGGTTCTGCTGAGATTAAAAGACGGTTTGAAGGAGTGGAAAAGAAGAAAAGTATTCAGGGCTGGAAACTGGATATATTTGTAGGAATGCGACAGTGCCTATCAGAATTGGTGGTGATTCCACATAGGGGGGAACAAATGGAAAAGTAATGGATCTGATTGTGGAGCACTTCCAAGGTCAGGTTGACACATTTGGATTTCATCTTGAGGGCTTTGGGAACTTTGAAGGTGTTTTGAACAGAAACATGACCCTGTGAAATGGTTGAGCAAGATTGTGAGTGATACAAATAGGCTGGAATGGGTATTCTAGGTATGAGAATGGGCTGGTAGCAAGGAGAGAAATTTTAAGGAATCCTAATGATAACTAGAAATAATACTTAAATCTTCTATAGCAGTGATGGCAAACCTTTTTGAGACCGGGTGCCACACTGTTTGTTACCCAGGACCCACATATTTATTGTAAATTTCCAACACTTCAATTAAACCCAAATACTGAGGTTTCAGTTGAGAAAAAAAAAAAAAAAAAAAAAAAAAAAAAAATCATACATTAACATTTTTTGGTCTTAAAAGAAAAACACAGAAACATGCCTGCCATAGGTTTGCAACCGCTGTTCTACAGGAATACTTTTCCATTTGGAGGACTTTTAACTGAGAGGCCTAGAAGAATGATGTGGTACCTTAACAAATGGGAAATTTAAAAAGGAACTGGCTGCAGAGGAGTTGGATAAGGGGACTTTGGATGGCCCAAAGATGGATAAAAATGGGATGGCCCATTGTAGACAATGAATCTGAAGTAGAAACAGTAGTTAATTGCTAGGAGTTGGTGTAAGTATCCCCCCTACTATTGTTACAAGTAACTATCACAAGCATATAAAATAGGTACTGTTGTACCCAAAACTCAGATGAGGAAACTGAGGTACAGAATATTCAAAAGCAAAAGGTACCAAAGTTAACCTAGTGAGAGGCCCATATGGAAGAGATCAGGAGAGGAAGTTGAGACAGTCACCAGAAAAGAGGAAGTCCAGGCCCCTGGTTTATTACCCAAGAGGTAAGAAGAGGGAGGGTTTTGAGGACAAAGTTGTTAACATTCTACAGACAAGAGCACAGGGGGAGGATGAAACAAGATATTGAGCCTTTAACAAGTCAGTGGTGGGCAGGCGCTGGTCTTGGAGAATTTTTTTTTTTTTCCTAGTAAGGCAAAAACCCAGTTTCAAGGGGTTAGAAAAGAGCCATCAGTAGTTGGACAAATTGATGCTCAGTGAGTAAGCCCAGCATTTAAGGATGAGAAACAGGATGGCACAAAGGGTGACAACATCACAGAGAAGTTTTAGGTTTTTCCAAAACTGGGTGACCCAGGGGTACTGGGAAGTGGAGAGGGAAACGTTACAGGCGTGAGCCAGAGGCCCTGTGCCTGGAATTCCTTCCCAATTCTGCACCCTCATTTTTCTGCACCTTCCCTCCTCCATGTATATGCAGTCATCTGGGGATCTGGAGAATGATGAGCAGGCAGCCAGTGCCATCTCTGAGCTGGTCAGCACAGCCTGCGGTTTCCGGTTGCACCATGGCATGAATATCCCTTTCAAGCGCCTGTCTGGTGAGCTCCCTGTCCGTGCCTCTGGTGACTGGGGTACTTCCAGGAGCTTCTTTTCAGGGAAGAAATAAGTACCTGTGTCCTTTACCAGGTATCCCCTGGTTCAGCCCCTTTCTTCCTTTTATATCAACAGAGTAAGCATGAGAAAGATTTCATAGTGGCTTTTCCTTCTGATCCCTTAGGCTTGAATGGAACTGTTTTGGCTGTCAGTCCAGTCAGTTTGTTTGACCCTGTACAGGCCCTGAACCCACTAACTCTGTGCTCCCTTCCCTCTTCTTGGTGGGGGAAGGTGTGTCTCCCCTCCAGTGGTCTTTGGAGAACACACGCTGCTGGTGACTGTGTCAGGACAGAGGGTGTTTGTGGTGAAGAGACAGAACCGAGGCCGGGAACCCATTGACGTGTGAACCTGCCAGAGGGCCAGGGTTGGAGAAGCAGCCTGGGTTCCTGGATCTCTGTGATGAGGAGGCATACACGTCCCCCACCTTGTGTTTGGCTTGCTGCTGGAACCAGGGCCTTACAGTCATCTACCTTTACGGGATTTTGTGCTATGTTAAAAAGAACTTGGGCAAAGGGATCCCTCTTTTCCTCCCCTATATCCCCTTAATAAACAAGCATCAATCTGATGTGACTCAGGCTCAGGGATGTTTGTACAGAGGGGGTGCTGTGCTGGGAGGGCGTGCTTTTCACCTTCGTGTTTCTGCCAACTTCTGTGAAAACAGTATATTCAGCCTGGAATGAATGGGACAGGGCTACCGCCATTATAAAACTGGGAACTGGAGGCCAGGGATTTCATTCAGTGGTTCTGACACCTGTCTCACAAATGCAAGGGCCTGAGTTCGAGCCCCAGTACCAAAAAATAAAAAAATAAAATAAAACAGAACCGGTAAAGCAGGGCCAGGAAGGGAGCTATTTGGGTGCATGCAGAGGGGAAAAATCCTGAGCTCCTGTTGTCTGTTCCTTTCATCAACACACACACAGCAGCCATCTTCCCTCCTGAACAAGCATTTAATAGTCTTATTTCAGTTGGAAGCTGTAGTTGCAGAATAAGTTACAGGAACAGAGGTCCCCCCCCAAAAGGACACAACTTAAAGTGCTTTGGGCCACCAACGTAAACATGAGGGGCAGAAGGAGGCCACCTAGCTATCTCCCAACCTGAGACAGGAGGATCATTGTCGAGGTCCCTTTACTATCACCACCCTCTAATCTCAGCACTGGGCTGGTGGGAGGGAGGGAGGGAATGTTGGAGGCAGATGGAACATAACAGGAATGAGGAAAATACTCTGTAAACTTAACAAAGGACAAGGGTGGGGGCAAGGGAGCTCTTGGAGCCCTTGCTCTTCCTGGGGTGGGGCCAGCCCCCCCCAGAGGAACTCGGAAATACTGTTGGCCTAGCACTGCAGCCACGCCACCCATTTCACAGCTTCTGCCCTTGTCCCTCATCAGCAGACACAGACAGGTGGCCCTGCTGGGCCTCTTCACCCACAGCAGGAGGTGTCCTAGGGGAGGCACAGCCTGGGAGCAAGAAGCCCACCAGGGGCTTTGGGTTCCTAGAGCAAACAGGGAGCAGAGCAGCGCTGTGCTACTTGACAGGCTCCACCACCAGGACTTTGCACTCGCGCTTGGCAATCTTGTCCAGAGACAGCACAGCCTTGTCTGGAGGCAAGTAGAGGGGACGGCCGACAGGGGAGGCCACAGGGGGCGTGATGGCCCTGCGCTCCATCACACTGCCCGACCTGGGGGAGGACAGAGGCTGTTGGCTCTGCTCACCGGTGGCTCCTCTCCCAACTCCTTGTCCCAGCCTCTGCCCAGGCCAGTGGGATGCCTGCCCTGGTTCCTACCTCATGAGGTGGCTGCGGGAAGGCTGTTGGTGGGAGAAGGACTGGGAGCGGCCCAGGCTGGCCTGGTGCCTCTCCACCAGGTCCCGGACTGCAGGGCTGCTGGGGCTGCTCTTTCGAGAGAGGGGCCGGGCCTCAGGTGGAGGGTGGGACACACTGGCAGTGAACTGCAGCTTCAGCTTCATGTGCTGGCTCAGCTGCAGCAGGAGACGCGCATCAGCATTCCAGCCAGACCTGTGCTCATCTTCCCTCTGCCCAGCCTTCCAGCACCGCCCGTTACACGTCCTCCCTTTGTAGAGGCTAGGACCCTGCCACTACATCCCCCTGTTCTGCAGCACTGGCCCACCTCAAACAGCCCCGACCTCAGAGCCTGGAAGGCCACACTGAAGGTAAGTGCACTGCCCTTCCGTGAAAAGCCAAGGTTGTTGAGGGGTGTGTGGCAGACGATGGAATCCAAGGCTGCTTGCATGGCCCGGCGCTCCTCCTCACACAGCTGCTTTCCTAGGGGTAGAAACAGGCACCAATGAGCAGTGGAAAGCCTTCCTCAGTCTTCAGAGCCATCACCAGTGTAGCCACATTTAGCTTCCAAAGCCACTCTATGGGGTAAGCTAGGTAAACGTGATTGTTTGTAGAGAGTTATCCGTAAATATACTGTGTGCTGAGGTCTGTCCTAATGGTGTTGCCCATCTTAACTCCTTTATCTGTAAACCCACGAGGTAGTATTTGTCCTACTTTAAACAGGCCTAGAGAGGTTAATTAGCTTACCTAAGGTTTAAAACTCGTAAATGAGAAGCAGCTCCAATATCTATGCTTTTCAAGTCACTCAGTCCCACTGTGTCTCTAAACTGTATGTCTGGAGAGATCAGCCAGAGCCAGATGCCACAAGTCATCCACCGTGGTGGGACTGGTACTGGATTTGAGCTGCTCTCACTGTCTCATCTCATTACTTCTTCCGATCCCCACCCCTCCCAGGGGACAAGGTCCCATCCTGGTAGTTGACCTACCAGCCTGGGCATGCTCCGGGGTCCACACAAGCCTCACAGCAAGGAAGTCTTGGAGATTGTTGAGCAGCGTGTAGGTGACAGTGAACCGCTCATAGGTCCGAACAGGGGACTCACAAGAAGCAGTCATCACAAAGCAAGGGCGGTCCAGGCGGACACTGGGCAGGCTAGAAACAGTGAGAGAGGAAAACTAGATGTGTTTCAGGCCACAAAGGTGAGCAGGAAGGTGCCCGGCAGAGGCTCCCACACACTCACCGGTAGTGGGTGTAGATGCTCTGGGTGAAGGGCAGTTTTGGGGTAGACCACTGAACCACAGCAATCAAGGGAACTTCGAGGCCCTGCATGTGAGATAAAAGAAGATGTCACATGCATCAGAGCTCCCCTCTCATCCTCAGGCTCATGGCCTGTCCCTCCCACTGCCTTTTCTTATCCTTTTTCTTGAACACTCTAGCCCCTTGTGCTCACCTCCTTGGCCCCTGGAGGGGGCTGCTCCCCCGCTCTCAGCTGAAACAAGAAGTTGTGTTCCTCCAGGGCATTAAGTGGGCAGGGGAAGCAGCCAGAGGTACCAGGAAGCCGGCAGAAGGAGGCCATGGAGACTTCACCAGACTGATGACTAGTTTAGAGAAGAGTAGGACAGGGCATGATTTAACCAGGCCAGAGCTTAGTCCCTGCCATTATCCTTGTCCACAATTTCACAATCCTTCTGTTCCCCAGGCCCTCACCAGACATTGTCCACCAGCAGCACAGAACCATCGGGCATGACAGGTAGATAACTGGCATTGAAGTTGGGGAGGATTCTGATATCCCAGATAGAGATCTCCTCCTGGGAGGAGCTGTTCAGCACTGTGGAAGGGAACCAGACTAGCTCAGAGTAGCTGGACCTCTGGCCCCATCCCTGTCAGCTTCCCCCGAACCACTGCCATCCAGTCAGTTCCCCTGCTGCTACCCAAAACCTGCGCCAGCAGATCTGCTCACCCTTAAGAACGGTCAAGTGTTTTCCAGCCACAGTGAACTGCCGGCATTTCAGAACCGGAGGAGGCAGCAGCGTCAGCAGAGTACTCACTACAGGAGGGTGAAGCAAGCAATGGAGAGAGGGTAGGGTCCAGACCTCACCTCCAGCCCACGGTTCTTACTGTCTTCTCCTCCCCATCAGGCTCTTTCCAGGATTCCCCCTCCACTCTGCCTCCTCTAAATATGACCCTAGCACTTCCCCTCTACAGCACGTCCATACCTTGGGCCTTGAAGGCACTCTGCTCACCCCGGAAGGTTTCCCCAGGAGATCGGGTCTGCAACAAGCGTAGATAGCCTTGATCTCTGACCTCTGGTGCCTCAACCTCCCGCTTCCACACAGTCACTACAATCTGAGTACAAGAGACAAGGAACCAGTCCAGAGTAGAGATGGACGACAGGCCCTCGAGAGGGTTCGAAACTAGGTCAGCCCCTCCACCCTTGCCATCTTACCTTGGCCTTGGGTGTCCCCGGGGGCAGTCTGTCCAGTGAAACAGTGAGTGGGAAGATGACCTCATCTGTGGACACAATCGGTTCCTCCACAGGCAGCTGGGATTATGAAGGGGGTGAAGAGGTCAGGAGAGAGTCACAAAGCAAGCATCGCTTGCCTCTATTCCCTTTAACGTCTGCAATATATGGTCTGGAGCTTCGTGCCCTCCCCTCTGCCATCAGATCCCTGCCTTCCTGGACTCCCAGCGTCCATCTCCCAAGAGTGCCCTTGGCTCCTGGCAAGCCGCCCCTGCGTACTGTGCCGGTCATCCCAAGCTCCTCACCATGGTCGCTCCCCCTGAGGTAGCAGGGCCAGGGCCGTGGGTGAGAAGAGGGCTGCAGCCGCGGAACAAGCCCCCGCCCCCTGGATCCCCTCCGCCTGGGGTCTCGGGCTCCTGGTCTCCCGTACCGACCCC